TTAAAAAAAAAAATAACCCCCAAAATAATCCACATACCCAAATCCCCCCAACTTGCAAAGTGAAAAATGCTCACCGGTCTCCCGGTGAGGTGTTTTTTTTCCTCAAAATGTGGCAAGAAAGGACAGTTTGGGGGTTCGCCTGCCCCTCTGTGGGGACATTTTCCTCATGAAGGGCTGTGGAGCTCCTTGCTGCTGGCTGGAAGCGCAACCCCATAAATTTATTGGTGATAAACCCATTAAGGGCCACTTTGGCACGAAAAAAACCTAAATTTGGAGCCGTGTGAGGGTACTGGGGGATGTTATAGCAAGTGTGGACTGAGGGGACTGGGCTTGCCTGTCTGCAGAAGTCCTCCCATTGTGGCGGCCGGGGTCTGTTAATGAGGGGTGGCTGCCTGCATGTCAGGGATGTCATGCCAGCAAGGAGCACAGCCCGAACGTATTTAAGAGCACCGTGAGGGGTTTGGGGGTCACAGATGCCTCAAAAATGGCCCCTGGGCCACAGTGGCCCTTTTGGGGAGGCTTTGCCCCCCCAAAAGGGCCCGTCACTGTGGCAACGCCGGCTGGCTGCCCTCACCCAAGATGGACCCCCAGGGCTTTGTCCCCCAGGGGCCATCTTGAGCAAGGCCCTCCTAGCAGCTAGGGGAAGGCCGCGGCCATCTCGCCCCGCTTGCCCCGACCGCCCTACGCTGAGGAGGAAGCCGCAGCCATCTTCCCTCTCGCCTTGCCTGAGGGCGAGGCTGCCATTTTGAAAGAGGGCGGCGGGCCGCCATTTTGGAAGCGGGCGCGGGCCGCCATTTTGGAAGCGGGCGACTCCTCTCTGAGGCCATCCCGACCCGCAGGCCCTGAATCAACGTTTTTTCCACTCCAATTTCTGCTCCCCCCCACAACACAATAGCAATGTCTCCTGCAAATATTTCATCACCAATGCAAATTTTAGCAGAGACAGTAAGGAAAATTTAAAGAAAAGCAGAGAAATTGGGACATTGTGTCCTCCATCTGCCTTGCACTTCTCCCACAGCAAGAGGGACGCTCCTGGTAGGGATTATAAATCTGGGGAAGGGCTTTTGCATGGTTGCAGGGAGGTTTTGGGTTATTTTTGCCTGAATTCAGGTCCACTGAGCTGTTACATGACACCCGTGGTGATGCAGAAGAAAGGCCAATCCTGTGAAAACCACCCACAAAAAATCCTCACGCCTTCATGCTGGAAACCCCCAGTTCAGTGACCGCCACCCCCTGAAAATGCATTTCTGAAGGAAAAAAGTCCACAGGGAGCTCCTCCAACTTATTTTTCACAGTATTTAATCCTCTTTGCTGGAAAACCCAGCTGCTGGGTGACAGGTGAGAAAGCCCAGGCCAAAAATGTGCCCCTTTCCACAAAAAGCATTAATTTTGAGGCAAAACGGGCTGCCCTGAAGGTCGTCTGTTGCCCAGGGCAGCTCCTGGTGTTTCCTTTCGTTAGCAAAAAACTGGCTGAAAAATCATAAAAAGCAAAGCCAGGCAAGCCACCCACTGGCTGATAGCACCATTAAGGCTTAATTATGACCATGAAGCTGCAATTTAAATTAATTAAACCCTGCAGGGGTTGTTGGGGTGGGTTTTGAGGACCCACATCCACCCCCTGGGATGCTCCCTGCACCCTGGTGCCTTTGGCACCCCAGCCCCAGTGCCTTGCTGGCGCTGGGGTGAATTAACCTGATTTAGGGTACCCCCAGAAACATCCCTTTGTTCCGGCCTGGTGGTGAAAACCAAGGGGAAAAGCAAGAAAAATGGGAGGATGTTTCAGCAAGGTAGGGGGACAGCCCTGACTGTTAGAGGAGTAATTAAGAAAAATTAAAATAGGAGATTGCCCGTGTTCAGCCTAATGAAGACGCTTCGTTGTCGAAACTTGAGACATTAAGACGACCATTTTTAGCAATTATTAATATGCGATTTAATAGTTTAATAGAGGCAGGATGAGGAGATGTGGGTAAATTTATGTGTATTTAAAGTTTATTTTCAGGGAAGTCTTGGGATTACGGAACACCGTGGATGTAGGGATGCTCCGTGGGGCTGCTGCCTGCCATGGGGCACCCCAGGGATGCTCTGTGGGGCTCATACCCCAATACTGGGGGGGTGTCTCAAGATAAGGGGGGCGAGGCCCTGGCCCTGACCCCCCCCCCCCTTTGACAAAGCAGGCGGGGGAACCCAGGGTGTCCAGCTGTCGTCCCCCCCCCCATCCTACAGGCACTGATGCATCCCCCAACATCCTATAAGGACCCAGATATCCAGGCCTCCCCCCACCCTGAGCAACCTATACGGAGGCAAACCTTCCCCCTGGCACCCTATAGGGACCGAGACACGTTCCTCCCCCACCCCACCAAGCTATAAGGAC